AATCATTAATTGTTTTAAATTTACTTGTACTCAACTTTATTTTATGCCCTCATTATTTGAATTTTGTTTTAAATTTAAATTTCATCGACTGTAATTTTTGTTATATTTCATTAAATCAGTGGACACTTGTTAAATTGGTCTCATGTTGGATGTTGTTTTAAATTAATTTGTACTCAACTTTATTTTATTTTATAATTTTTTTAATTGTTAAAAATTGAAATCAAAATGTCAGTTTTATGGTTAGATTAAATTATTAATAATTATTAAAATAAATAATTAATTAGCCGATACAAATTTTGAACAGCTTTGTTTGTTTTTTTTTTATTTTGTTATAAATTTGAACGACTTGATATTCAAGCTAACATAATTGTTCAATAATGGTTACTGACACTCACAAATTTTTTTATAAAAATGAGGTAAGTAAATAAGTTTATTAAAGTTATTTTCAATTTTCATAAAAAAGTTTTTCTTCTCTATATATTTTGGTATTCCTTAACAATCTCAAGGTCTTAAAGACCAGTCTCGAATCTCAGATACCATATACACCACGAAACGCCTTGAGTACCGGGTACATAAAAAAAGTAGAAGAATTGTATGTATATTTTGTGATTTGCTGTTGTTGTCCGGGTATTATTGTTGCTATTGCTGCTGTTCGTTTAGCATTTTGCCCGTGCTGTTTGTTTGCCATTGTTGGTCGTTGTTGATGTTCTTGCTGTTGTTGCTGTTGTTGGTGTGGGCGGTAGTGGTGGTGCTGGCTCTGCCATTGTGGTTTGTTATTGGCCGTTGATAAAATCATCAATAAATTAAAAATGAAACTAGGCGTTGCCTGCCCCCTGTCCGCCGTCCCAGCGCCACGCCCCCTGTCACTCACTCGACCATAACATCCGTTGGCAGTTAAATGCCAGGACTTTGGCGGCGTCTGTGGCCGGCGCCTGTGTGTATGCAATGGTATTTTTATTTCTATTTGCACCACACTCTTCTCGGCAAAACGGGCACTAACTCGCCGCGGGTCATGTCGAATAAATAGCTGCAGGAATTTCCGAGATTTCTGCGAGTGAACCATGCACTAATGTGACCGATGCGACCATTGCAATGGTCCGAGGGCATTGCCACTTGGGCCATGCTGGTCGTCTACCAAACAAATAATTCTTTTGGGCTAGCTAATAACGCGCAACGAACCCAGCATAGCCTTGAAATCAATAACCAAAAAAACAATAATCATCGTAAAAAAAGGTACTATTTTTTATTTGGGTTTATTTTTCACATATTTCTTTTTAATTTTCGAATTGTTTTGTGCTTTAACTAATAATCTCTAATAATATTTTTCCACTTAACTTATTTATAAAATAATGAATTTTACACTCTTTGATTTTAGAAAAACAATGTGGACGATAGGTGACCCAAAACTGCACTTTGAAATTAACTCAAATTTAAAAATCAACATCAAAATGCATAAATGGCGTATTTCTTTAAAAGCATATATTTTTAATGTCTACTTTTATTGCCAATAAAGTTGTTGACCTGATTATTATGTGAGGTATTTTCAAGAAAGCGTTAGGTTCAGAGAGGTAAAAATGCTTTTTTAGAGCCGATAGCTTCAAAAATTGGATTCCTCCAACAGCTGATGGTTTAGTTATTAAAGGACTTTAAAGGTTTTATTTTAATACTTTTTTGACCAATGCATATTTGTAATACAATTTTGTATTTATTCTTACTTGACCAGTTGGACTGCGATTTTAAATGTTCATAAATGTTAAGATTCAAATTGCATTTAATTTGTTAATTTATTTTTGATGCTTTGTATTTTGATACTTCCAACCGGATTTTGATTTCAAAGTGGTGTTAAATATAGTGCTTGTAAGTTATATTTACGTTTGCTTTTTTTTTTAATTTGTGATGGTTTCAAGTAACACAACTGTATGCTAGAAACAAAGATAATGTTGAGAATGTCTGCGTTCTAAAGATTAAGAGCTGTTGACCGATTTTAGATTCGAAACGTGAACTGCCAGTGTATTTTACTTTCGTTCCTGTCACCGTTCGACTTCACTCAACGACCATATTCCATAATTCTTTGTTTGCTACCAAATTCCCGCGTGCTTTCACGTATACGTGTACCTGATGCCCCGGTTTTGTCTGATGCCTGCTGCCTGCTGTCTGTTGTGTGTTGCAACCCGGTGGCAGCAACAATAACAGTGGGCCAGGGGGGGAACCACAATGGACAGTTTTGCATAACGCATTAGAGATGCATTCAAATAGGCAGGCAACATCGCGTATACGCCGCGTGGTTGTCGACAAGCGTTCAATGGTTTTTCTAGTATACTTTCCGGGTGGCGAGGTGGTGAAATGCTGCTGCTTTTGGCACGTAATAATAATGGACGCATCAGACAATGCAAAATTTGTCAAATTTTGATTATTTTTTAATAAGAAGTGGAAGGGAACAGCAATATTAATTGCATTGATAGTGAAGACGACACTGACGCTGATGAATGCAGTGTTGGCGAACGATTGTTCCAGAGGTCATTGTTGTCCCGCATTGTGCCCCAAATGGACTGAATAGAATCGGCTGCTAACACTATATGCTTATATTCCCCAAAGTACTCTGGTGATGGATATTCATTGTAATGGCCTTTGCTGCTGCTGCTGTTTAACAATTGTGCACTTCATTCTCATTTGTCTTCTCTTAATTAACTTGTGGCCTAAGTCCTTTTGTTGGTTTTGGCATACTGCACTTGTGTTGTTCGAACTGCTTAAGCCGATGATCTTGGTCTGGTTTTCGATTTTCTATGTTAATAGCACTTTATCAGCCAGTGTTATTGGCAGAATTCAATTGTTTAAAACATTACCTAATCTGATTTCAATTATTCGTACCTTAGTTGCATTGTTTGCTCTGCTGCCTTATTATTAAAAATAACAAAACGTTGCTTGATTATTTGATTGCTTTAAAACAAATTTTTATATGGGGTAATCAATATTTTGTAAATATATTTTATTTGTATTAAGCAGTACACAAATTAATTATGACTTCATAGTTTAAGTCGTCATATGATAGCCCTTGCCTTTTGCATACAAATTAATTTGGGCACTGCATTGAATTTATTAACTTAAGAATTCGGAAAAAAATCTTATGAGGGCTCATCAAAGATTTGTAAGTAGTATATTTAAAAATATTGACTCTTCAAAGTTACATTATTTAACTTAATTTTATAGTAAGTAATTTTTTAAACGTGCAAAACAATGTATGTGTTGGTATTTACATAAAATTATTTGGCCATACGGGTTGAAAAAGACAGTGTGCACTGCCATAGCCTGCAAAATTTAATTTTTTTATAAATAACCAAAAAGTCAGTATCATTTTCCGAGTCATTGTTTTGCATAACTAGACAAACTATGTTATATCTGTATTCGCACTCACAAAATAATTATTTTGCCATTTAGTTTAGAAATGGAGTTAAACTGCAACAGGTTAATTATCGACAAAATGTCAGTATCACTTTTCGTGTAATTTTTGTGTGCTTTAGGATTCGCTGATTTTCCGCTAATATGCATTTCAGTTGGGAACTCAATCTGTAATTACTAAGCAAAAAAAAAAAATGTTACATATTTATCACTTTTCATACTGCCCTTTAAACTCTTATATTGTTATTGAGACTTGCTTTAAATTTGTACAAATGTTTTCTTCTCCCATAACATTGCTTGTGTTAGAAATATATTTCCTTCTATTAAAACCAATTGTATACATTTCTCAATATATTATTTTTAGTAAGTGTAAACAACTAGCAAGTTGCAGACAGAATTTTTATTCGTTTTAAATCTTAAACTGATGCAATATTTATTACGCATTCGCCTCGTTGGCAGCTGTGCTCTAGTATATATGCTCGCTTTATTCGTGATAATGATAGCCCTTGCATTGAGTGTTTTTTGCATAGAAAATCGTTTGGACAATGCATAGAAATCTTGGCCTACTTTGCACATTCAATGCTGCCGTTGCTGCTGCTGCTGCTGCTTTCTGTTTAATCAAACCCAAAACGCAATTAAATGTGCGCATCGTCACGTCGTCCAGTTGCCACTTGGGAGGCAATCCAAGACAATGGACGCCCGCCCGAAAATGTAGCACTAATGAGGCACATGCCACACGCACAGCCACCCACCCATCGCCTTTCTGCGCCACCCACCACCCACCACCCACCGCGAAGAAGTTGCGCTCTGCAGTCGCGCAATTGTCAACAGCAAAACAATATACAAATAAATTGTATTTTATTTCACTTAAGTTGAAAGGCAGCTTCGCAAGGAGCCACGCGCTGCTCCGTCTTTTGGTAGATACACTGAGGAAAAGAAAGTAAAACAACCTGATCAAAATTTGCTTCTGCACATTCATGATTATAAGAGAGCAGCCCTTTATATTATATAATATTGATGCTTTGAAGGCTATTTTTATTTAATTTGAACATCCCGAATAAACTTAAAACTGATTGGCTATAATAAACAGTCAACATTCCATACAAGTAGGATGTATAAGCTTTTTATAACTTGAAAATTTGTACTTAAAAATGTATGATTTACAGATAAATAAGCACTTATACATTGATAAAGCGTATTAACTGTAAAAAAAAACTTGAGCTTGTTCTTCCATTTTCTTCATATGCTAACGAAGATTATCATTTGCTATTTTTTATTATACTTTAAAAAGTGTGTTTATTTATTTTTTATTATTTTCGATTTTTAATTTGTAGTTTATGTAAATGATCCTTCTATGGAATTCTCGTAATATAATTTGTGTAATGTTATTTGGTAAGGATTATTTTTGTAAGTTTAAAAATATTTATCACCCTTAGCAGGAAGTTTTAAGTAAAAGTGTTTTAGTGTAAACACATTTTAGATTGCTCGAAAACTCTTTATATTTTATCGCTCAAAATATTATGCAAATTAAGAGCAGGCTGAATGCATTGGAATGGCGATGAAATGAAATTTTGGAACGTTTGGTTCCGTGTACAAGAAAATACCGACAGTGAGACGAAACGAAGATGTTGCAGATGCGGGACTTGGGACGTTTAGATGGTGAATCGGGGGCAGCGAACGAGGGCGAGGATTCAAAAAGGACCCTCAGGAGGAGACAGAAGGCGTTCAGGTGAACGTCGGCACCGACAATGCCGCGTTTTCGTCTCCTGCTTGGTCTTCGCCCTCGACGTAGTTGCATTTCGTGGCTGTTGCACTAAAACAAAGGAGGCGCCCAGGATAATGGCGGCAGGAGCCGTGCTCGGCGGATGAGCAACAACCAGCAACAGAACAAAAGCCTCTCCCCAGCAAGAGGTAGCAAAAGGCAGAGGCGGCGATCCTGGGATACATTTAACCGACAGGTTGAGTCGATTTCATTGATTACTTAACGCTATACTGTTACTGGTCATTTCTAGTTTATTGATAAAGCCAATTACATTACTTTGGTTTGCTTTTTTTTAATTAAGGCATTACATTATTTTGGTTGGGTTTTTGTAAACTTCTGTATTTTCCAGTTGAAAAAATGACATATTTTCGACTTAAACGAACATCTCTTTAAGAAGATTACCGTAAGATTTCAAGTTAAAACACTCTTTTAGTTAATTTGGAGGAACGTTGGATCCGTCAGTGGATTTGAATTCATTTTATTCCAGTTACAAAAGTTTTATTGCATATACAATTTTAACAAAAAAATCATGATTGGTCCTAAAAAGTTGTTATACAATATGTTGTTCAAAATCAGAAATCCTATTTCGTGCGACAGAGTATGTCTTAAGAATAAAATAAATATGGTAGCTGAAAGTTCATGTTTTTTTCCACAACATTACTACCGCCATCGAATATGAATGTTTCTTTTACACCAAAAAATAACAACTTAAGTAAACAAAAACTTTTGTTTTTTAAAATGTAATATCTTTATTTAATATAAACTTGTGTAAAGAAAGTGTTAAGACTCTTGCGTCATTTCTCTTCATTAACATCTTTTACAGTTGTAAAGTAAAAAAGTTTAAGTAATTATGTTTCATACCAGGTGCAACTAAAATGTAAATTAATTTAGTTTTAAAAGATTTCAATTAGCCAAAAGCTAAAATAATTTCTATTTTTGTTGGAAAAGATGATGGCAATAAAAGGGGAAGACCCTACAATATGCTAAAAGTTAAATTAACAGTTTGAGTTCAAAGGGCAAAAGAAATCTGTAGCAAATAAACTTAGACCAATACGGTCCTTTGCACATTCACTTTCCTTAGCATGAATAGTAATTTTGCTTATTGAAAAATAGATTCCATGGGGATACAAAAGTTGAGGGACAGGTGCAGCCTACATGCATGCAGATATTTGAAAATTAGTGTTTTCATTTTGGTGAAAGCCTCGAAATACAAGTATTTTGCTTATTGAAGAGCAGATTCCGCAGGGAATAGAAAAGTTCATGGACATGTGCATGTGTGGCCACACCACATGCGTTCATACATATCAGCCATCCGTGAAAAGGGCTAAATAAAAAAGGCAGTAAGGAGAAATGCGTGCAGGCGAAACTATAATACACTTGATGGCTTGGACGCTTAGCAGACTGCTCTTGATTTAAATGAGACCGTAATGGCTCATAGAGGGGACTTCCAGTCGAATCACACTGGAAGGGGGAATTCGCATTCCCTCCCCCGCCCCCCCAACGACGACACAAGACAGAGGACTTTGCGGCAAGAAGGTGAATGAATTCATTGCAATGCAGAAAGTTTTCTCGGAGGCAGCCTTGATGGTGCTGCTGCCACTGCACCTTTTATGCCGCATTCCCTCAACCAGCAACTTGCAGCCCCAGCCCGCAACTTTCATTGCATTGCATTTGCGCCCCTGCACCTGCATGCAACAGAGTTGCAGCGCTTTTTGGCTGGCTGAGTGCAATTTTTTAATGACAACTTTCGGCGGCGGGGCTGAGTGGGTGGTCGAAAATCAACTTGATGCTGCTCGACGATGCGCGAACCGAGCGAAGTGAGTGCAAAGGGCTTAGGACTGCCAGCAGCAGCAGAAGCAGCAGCAGCAGCAGCAGCTGCAGCAGCAGCCGCATCAACAACAGCAACAACAACAACAACAACAGAGAAAACCGTTCAAGTGAGCAGCCATAAGAGATTTCCCCGCCGCACCACCCAAGGAATTCGAATCCGAGTGGCAAGTCAGTGGAAAAGTAAAGCAAAGTCAGCAAAGTGCAACGCGCAGGGAAAACAACTGAAAAGCGATGCACGGAGAAAAACTTATTGCTTAGATTGCCAGCTTGGAATGTTTCAATAAAAACGTTATCTATTTTATTGGGCATAAATTACGGAACACTAGTTTCTTCATACCTTCTGGCCATATCTTTAAAAACAGCAGAAAAACAAACACACATTCAAAATAGAATTTTCATATCAGCTTGGTAAAACAAAATTTACAGATATAACACAACAAATATAAATAAGTATCTGGGGAGCTATTCCTTGTATAAGTATTTATTTTCTAAAGGTTACAATATCATTATCATATGAAAATCCGTATTTAATTTTCCGCAAACTGAATTCAACTTTATTATGAAATATTTTTAAGTCGAGAAAATAATAATCCCAAAACAAAGTTTCGCGAGTCCAATTCTTTTCAATTAATTTAACACATTTTGTTGGCAGCATAAAGATAATTGATGTCTAATGCAAAGTATTATTACATAATCTAAGTATGCACTTGTCCTAGAGTTGGTTCAACCACCAAGTGGAAAATTCGCAAGAAAAACCAATCCTTTAAAGATAAATAATGAAAATGTAAAATGTTTTTAAAGAATTTTAACTAATTTATTAGTAATTAAGTAAGCCAAAATATTGAGTTAAAAAAATTTAAGTCATAGCATAAATATGGGATAGCGTAATGCTTTCTTAAAAAGAGGTAACAATATGTGATAATGATGTCTAACAATTGATGTATAATGCAAATTGTTTATAAAATATAAGAACCAATCAACTTGTGAAGCTCGCATTAGTACTAAATGGTGAGAAAGTTATTTATTAACACACAAACATGAGTTTTTTAAATGTAAGGCAAGGCCCAATTTTCGTGAATTGTAATGATTCCTAATATGTGCTAATAAAGCTGGCTTTTTCGTGTTTTTTTCTCTGTCTTAAGGTGGGGGCTCAAATGCGATCTGGAGACGGAGTGGCACACTGGCCGAGTTCGAATGGCTCGAGTATCTGATGCGGAAGTTGAGCGAATGCCAGCTCTGCGGCTGCCATCTTAATTTGCATGCACTAGCTGGCGGTGCGTGTGTAATTTATTTGTCGCGCGAAATTCCCTTGAACTTGTCCGGCGGCAGCATCGGCAGCCGTAGTACATGCAACATGAGAAGCAGCAGCGACATCAGCAGCAGCAGGAGCAGCAGCAGCGGCAACATCGAAATCAGGAACAACGGCGACCAGGACTAGGACACATCGTGTTTTTGTCGACCGCGCAGGAGGTCTTCGTGCCTCGCTTGCTGTTGCAGCGCTGCTAGCCTTTCGGCCGCGACTGTCGCTCGGAGGCGCCACACGAGCTGCAGGAGCCCAATGGAGTCCACAAGCAGCTCCGCCAGCGATGCCCCTCCCCTTCGATAACCAGTGGGCGACTCAGATCACTAAGCCTCAATTGGGTTGTTTTTCACTATATTAATATTGAATAACGTTAAATAATAACATTATATTGCAAACTTGGATATGGTTTCCTAAACAATGAATAATTTACTTTTACAAAGCAATTGACAATTGGTAGGATAATAATAATAAAACTATCTCAGCATTTTGTATAAGTTTCTTTAAGACTTTTTTAAGGTTTAAAGGTCTCTTTACTAGCTTTTTTACAATCTGGCTTATTTGTCGGAATTTTTAATATTTTGTATTAAATGTTTTCATAAAATGCAGGTTGCTTGCAGGGAAAATCATATGTTTGTTTTTAAAAATTCAAAAAAAATATATTCTTTATAAAATAAAAAACTGAAAATAATAATTGACAAATGGTGAAGGAACTTTTGATTTTAAAAGCATGACTTTTTTTTTAATCAATATTTTTCAGGCAAGTACTTTACTATCAAAACATTTCTAACATAGTATTGCAATCAATATTACAAACCTTATATTGTGGCATCTTGAAACATTTAAAAAAAATCTTTACAAAAATAACGAGTCAGGCAATCCAAACGTCAGTCTTATAAACATACACTGATAATAAAATGGAAAAGTATAAATAAATATCTTACTATTGAATTCAACATTTTGTACATAATATTTTAAATAAATATATAAAGGCATAATACTAAATACAAAGAATATTAAATTGCATGATTAAATATTTAAAAATTTTAATAATGTGGAAAAAATTAGTTATAAAACATTTCTTAATTGATTAAAATGCATTTTATTTAAGTTTAATATGTTTTAAATTTAAATGTAATTTTCTGTTATTAAAATTAATTCTTAGAATTGTTAAAATTATTTTTTTTAATATTTTCATGTTCAAAATTACTAAATTCCGCAATAAATGAAAGTCAGAGCTAAGAGTATTTTAATTGAGTACCAAATATTTGGATTTATAACGTTTTCATTTACCAGTGTGGAACCATTTTTTATTTAAGACAAAAACTGCTTAAATTATATGTGAAATTCGTGGCTCTTTGTGACTTTCCCCCATTAAAACTTATTGGGTGGCTTACCCCTTTTATCGAACCCTTGCTCATCTTCCATGCGAACGGCATCCACAGCCGGGATCCACAAGCGCCACTTCACGCCTGCGCATCGCCCGGAAATGGGGCACGAAGTGGGGCTGGGGGCTGGGACGGGGGCAACGGAAGTGGGGCGGCCTCGAAGGCCGAGCAGCGTGTCCTTCGTGCGTCCTGCCAAAAGGTAGGAGTCTGTACGGGCGAGTGCCTGTGGAACTCGAGTGCCGAGACAGCGGCGAAGCCAGCCGAATCGTTGGCCGAGTTTTGAGAATCGAGTGCTCGGCGATTCAGTTTCGTTTAGGTTATCGAACGCAGCGGTTTGTGCCACGCGACTGAGGACGGATAATCACTGGATTTCACTCGATTCGTTTCGTTTCGTTTCGATTCGGATCGCAACGCATCGCTTCGCATCGCATTTCCTCTAACTCAAACTCGATACTCGGTACTTGAATCTTAAATTTCGTGCTGCCAGTGGGTTAACATCCAAATCCGAGGCGGTTAAA